AACGACACATTCCCTTTAAGACATGTCATATTGAACACTACGGAGGTACAATAAACTGCCGGCCATGATTATCATAAATCACTGCAAATGAAGCAGACACAGAATGACAGGCAAAATCATATGAAAACGTTGATAGAATATGAAAATGCGCGGTGTTAATGCTGCCTTGGAGCAGAACGTCAGAGTCAACGATACATATGGCACGTCATACCTTGAGCAGGCGCTTCTTTCGACGCAACTCGGCGCTGGATCGCAGGTTCACCAGTGTGTTTCTTGTACTGAGGTGGTACCAGATTCTCGAGTAGCAGAAGGTGATGATGAGGAACGGGATTCCGAACTGCAGCGCCAAGACGACGAAGCCGTAAGCAGCCTGCAACTGCACGTACTCCCACACCTCGAGGCAGATGAAGATGCCGCAGTCTTGGTCATAGACGAGACTCATATGCAGGGCGTACGGGGCGACCAGCATCAGACTGAGCAGCCAGATGGACACGATCACCGTCAGGCACGTGCTGACTGTCATGCGCTTTCTGAACGGATTCAGAATGACGATGTACCTTGAAAACGTGGTTAGTATGCGACAGTTACTGCTAGCCTGTTGTACGTCCCCGGTTACCTGTCAACGGCGATGGCAGTGAGCGTCAGTGAACTGATGAAGATGCTGGTGCCCTGCGTGAGTGGCATCATGTGGCACATGACCCTTCCCCACACCCAGCGGGCCAGATACACGTACAGCGGAGTCAGCCACAGTGAGGTGATGTTGACGAATATGTCCGACAATGCCAGGTTGCATATGAAAAAGTTCGTCACCGTCTGCATGCTGTGGTTCCTGATCACGACGAATATCACCAGACCGTTGCCGAACAACGCCGTGGTGAAGATCAGCACATAGACTACTCCAAGGGCTACTTTCGACGCGATGTGTTCGTGCAGTGAATCCACCTCCAGCGCCCTTTCAGCGCATGATCGAAGACTACTGTTCAGACTGGCATTTATGATCGCAGCTACGGCCATGTTTTTTCGTCGGTATCACAGCAAAGGGCAGGAAAAACAGAAGAAGGCTATTCACTGTATCGCGGTAAAGCATCGACAACCTGTTTCTGCCATCACGTCGAAAAAACAGCTGAATTCCATTGAGCTTCGCGGGTGGAATCGTTATGAAGTTCACAACCAGTCAACCGAGTCGTATACGTTGAACATGGATCCACGTTGACCTGAAACGCATAGTCTAAATTTTTAACACTTACTAATTGTGATTAGATGACTAACAAATCAACGATATTTAGAAATGTAAAAATTTTTCGTCTAAGGTACTTATATCAACCTTACAACATTTGTCTTAAAGATACCTCAATTACAATCTAGAAACAATCAAGACTGAACGCTCGATTTCATATTCAGCACAAACCCTTGTCCTCATAATAACTTCATCAAAATGTCGAGGACAATGAGGACAGGGTTAGCAATACCCCAATTCAACAAGAGACGCCACAGGGAGTGCTCAAATTATCGAAGCGTTAATTTATTGAGCCTTCCGGGAAAGTCTACGCAAATATGTCAGAAATTATCACTGAATAACTGACTCTAAGATATAGGAAGAGGAGAGAGGTTTCTGGTCAAGCCAAAGCGCTTCCACTTAGATAATCACCTTACACCAGATCATTGAGGAATCGTTGAAGGTTCGCCTATCCGGTATATATTTGGTCTGTGGACCTGGAGAAAGCCTATGACCGGATCCCGCGATAAAATTTGTAGGCGTACCTCCAAACATATGGGATCGAAGGTCAGTTGGTACGGGCCATCCAATCCCTGTATGCTGATAGCAGGTGCTGCGTGAGAGTAAATGGCGTTAAGTCGAAGGCTTTCAAGGCTAAGTTTTGTCTCCTCTCCTGTTTGTGTTTCACGTTGAGAGAATAGTCAGATTTGGCCAGGGTGATGAGTGTACCAGTTTGGAGATGTCAAGGCGAGAAAGTTGCTATTTGCAGACCATCTTGTTTTGTTTGACATTTGAAACTGATCTATAATCCTGCGTGGAAAGGTTAGGATCTGAGCGCGATATGACGGATATGCGTGTGAACGCATCTAAAAGGAAAATCCTAATCCTTTCTTGTTCTCCTGCATGTTACTCTCTTCAGATGAACGGAGAAGCAGTGGAACAGGTGGAGAAGTTCAAGTACCTTGGAATTTTATTTACTAGTGATGGAAAATTTGAGGAGGAGATCGTCTAGCGGATCGGAGCAGCCAGTGGATTATGCGTGAACTGACCTTAACCATTCTGACTCAAGCAGAACTGACTTTGAAGACTAAGCTCTCAGCACTCCAGTAGATCTTCATCCAAATGCTCGTCTAAAATCATGAGTCTTAGGCCATCACTGAAAAACTAACTTCGATTCCGGATGGGAGCGGGAGAAATGGGCTTTCTGAGGCGAATCGCTTGATTCATATGTCTGAACATGATCCGAAGTACAGGTATCTGAGATGGCCTTGCTGTGCTACCGCTGCTTCTCCAGATTGAAAAGTCACAACTTGGATGTTGTCACAATTTGGAAAGTGTTGTGAGTGCCTCCAGAAAGGAAGGCGAGGCAACAACTACTTGCCAAATCGACTGGAGGAAGACTCCTGGGACAGGATAAAGTATCTTGAGGTAAGTACATGAAAGAACGTTCTCCAGATCGGATTAAGTCTAACGAGGTTCAACCAGTTTCACAGGATCGTCTGATGCTTCAGCTTCCGCAACTCAAACGGATGAGCGTTCATTGAAACGGACTAACTGAATGACAGAATTCTTTGAGATGTGTGATACTGCATGGAATCAACTGCGTATCTTGGAGTACTTCTTCAAGGTCTCATTCCAGATCTGGTACACCGCTGACTTACCAATACAGCCTCTAGTGACATAAAAATGGAAAAACCTCGACCGAGCACATGCTTGAACAGCACCAGCCACGGCGACGCTATGAAACCTAAAGCTGATCTTGAAGGAAAATGAGCTCATGTGCCATAACTTGGATTGCCCATACTAGTAACGAGGGCGGTGTCAGTACGTCTGCATCGACACTAAAATTTTGACTGATTGAGACAACAGAGAAACACAAGTTTTCCCGCACAAATGTCATCTACGTCTTCTGCAGACGTCATGGATTGCGTAGGCAACTGATAACAGGCGAATTTAGCCCTGGAAGACTCTTTGGCTGCCAAGAATGGCAATACTTTGGTAGCCAATTGGATAAGGGGACATTAAAATCATCCTGCAAAGCGTTGAGGTAAATCTCAGAACGTTAAGACACATACAGTTTCTATTGCACATTGCCTACTCTGAAGAAATCACGTCAGTGCAATTTTGAAAGTCTACAGATAATTTATTTGGTTTATTAAACTTATTAAACCCTTATGCTTATCATCATACAGGATAATTAACTGTGACGTAGGTCAGGGCGAATTGTAGCCATAAAACGCATTCGCATGAGACCTTTATTCTATTCTCTTATGACTATACCATTACATCTTACTTCTATATTGATCGCAAGTCAATAACTTGGTACATATTTCCTGACCATTTGCACCGAAGCAAAGTGGATGATATTTTTTCTCAAAAAAATTTTTTTGAGGAGTCCACCTCTTACCACAATACCGCATTCTTAAGTTTAGGTTATCGTAGATACGTCAATCCGTTTAGATGCCTGAGCAGAGTATAACAACATTGACTCAGTTAATTGACTTTCAGGTAAAAATGAGGTAATCCTTCAGAAAATAGAAAATCGAAAAAAAAGTATCTTGCTGCCTTTGAATTTCCATAGGAATTTATGACCTAGGAACACCTGGAAAGAGTCAGATTCTTATTGATAGTGATCGGCTGGACAACCCGAAAGGATTTGTGGTCATTCAACCTGCCTGATCGATCAGCGCAATGGTGAGACAATGCAATAATGGCCTTGGGTCACACGCTCCATCGGGAGGGCAATGAATTCTCTTGAAATTTACTGAAGGCTCGCCTCAGACCAGGGCGTTGATTTGCAAAAACTTCGTACTCACGTAGAACGTAAACGGCCATCTCTTAATTCAAGCTCTCTTGACAACGGCTAAAACGGTTCATGGCCATAATTGACTTAGGAAGCACTCTTCCGATTATTCAAATTCAGTTACAGATTCAGCGATGATTGAGGGGCACGCGTTATGGCACAGTCGCAACGCGGAAATGGCTAACAGCGTAATAAGAGGAACATCGTCGCATGGCGTCTTCTGCCTGCCGTCGTCAGCTGAGGAAGTTGACAATTTTGATTGTTATACGAATCAAGCAATTACCATCGTGAATAACAGTCAATTGAAGTGGCTCGGTGGAACTGAGGCAAATTATGGCAATGGCCATATGATTTCTCAAGTGCTTGTCTCCACTGCTTCTACTCGTTTCATAATTGTGTTTATCGTCAGTGCTTGGTTACTGATTACTAATACCGTTTAAAACTAGCTCCATCGTTTAAATCAGCCATTCAGTCATTTGCAGTTTATGTTGGTAACCAGTAGCAAACTACTTTTTCTGACAAGAGAAACAATATGAGCATATTCTATTGCCTTAGTTGACATGGCAATTCTTAAATTAAACATAATATGCTAATGCGCATGTGAGGAAGTCTTCCTCGTGGAAACAGGAAATTCCGTCGAGGAAAAAATGCAGAAATACTTGTTCAACTTAGCGAGATGGAAAATTGGTGACTAAAGGACGTGTTAGGAGATAGACGAAGGATTCCATAGTAATCAAAGCAGAATGCTAAAATGCTACCTCACATGTCGTCAAAGACATGAAACAGATTTGCAGCACTCCAGGTCAAACGGTGCCAAAACGAAACATAGATTTAGACACATCAGAGAAGCTCTGTTCATCCAAGCAGTAGATGTTTGGACAGGGACGATGGATTGATATTTGCTGTGGATATTTGAATGATAGTTATTTACAAAAACCTGCCCACATTAATCCCTGCTTGTCACTTTATAGTCCAAAACGTTGCCTAAACAATTTCACCATTTCAATATCTGTTTTTATCATTTTACCCTGACAACGTGACAAGCATGGCGCGAAACGTCGGTAATTTATGCAGACCAAATCCGTAAGAAATATTAAAACCACGTAATGTACAAAGGCTTGACTAACTATCGACAAAGTCGGAGAATTACAAGCCAAAGCGAAACGAAAAGGGTTACGGTATGTAACCGACATGAAAATCATAAATGCCTTTCATGAATCCTGAAGGGGGTTGGTAATAACACGATTGTAGAAAATGGGTAGTAGATCCTTACAGGCCATTAATTCAAGGTTACTTAGGGAAAAAATTTTGGGTGTCTTTCAGGACGGATCGATTTAGACGTCACTTATATCTACCAATTAGAAAGAAACGCCGTATAGTTTCTTCTCGAACGGTTGCTAGAGGACTGAGGAAATGCGTCCGTCCACAATGGACGTGTCCTCTTTGGCCCGGTCAAAGAACCCTTCGGAGGTGGACCTGGCTGGTTTATGCTGGAATGGATCCGGATCTGATAAAACCGCTGTGGTCAGCAACTCCGTGGCTGGAAAACGAGTTCCATTCAGCGGTGCGACTGGGAGCGTAAAGACCAAATGATGGAGCATACTATTTTTAAATGCATACTCTGGGAATTCGACTGCAGGACATCTGATGTTCAGAACTTTATCAAGGAGGTCATCAATTGATTCAAACATCTTCGAATTTCTATCTAACGTCGTCAGTCTTCTGCTTTAGTTCCAATGAATAAGAAGCAGAGCATAAGATCAACGAGGACTGCATGAAGCACTTCATTATTTCAGCTTAACACATGTTCGAGTTTTGTTCATATAATAGTTGGGAGAGGGGCACTGGATAGAAGTCGTTCGTCTACCTCATGAAAGTGTGGTTTGACTCCCTAAGCTGCATACAATTTTTATGCAAACAGCCAATTCCATTGAGCAAAGAAATTAAATTACCAAATTGTGCAACGATGCACCAGTGCAAAGTGGGGCCCCAGGT